TAATGATATAAAAATTCAGGACTCATCAGTACTGTTCTTGGGGTTCGAATTCATTTTAAAAGATCCTGTCAGTTTATACTGCCGAGGATCTTAAACAACTTTCCAAACATTAATTAACTAGTCAATCTATCAATCATTGTTATGACACCCTTGTGAGGTAGGCAAGTCTCACTAACTCTATTTTTCACATGGGGAAATGGGCAGAGATCTCAGTGACTTGTCCCAAGTCACACAGCAAGCCTGTGGTAGAGATGGGAATAAATCTAGATCTTCTGGCACCATGTATTCTGCTTTATGCATGAAACTGCTTTCAAATGCATAAACAGGGATACCATTGATATTAGTAAAATTAAAAGAGCCACCTACTAGGTCGCTATTTCCCCTTTGCTCAGCCTAGATTGAGAGATAAGTACTCTCTGTGGCACTTGACATGGGGTTGAAGCGTTAGTGAAGGATCAATGGATGAAGATTTATTTCTACAATTCTTCAAGTGTATGTGGGGATCCCCACAGTCTGACCTGATTCTGATCTCACACTGGTTTTACAGCAGCGTGATTCCATCAGCTTCAATGGAATGATCCGGCTTTACCCCACTGCCTCCAATGGCTACTACCAGAAATAGATAGGAAATCTTCCTTTCACGCACATTTTGGACATTGTGAAATTACTTTCCAGTCTCAGTCCTAAGAAAAATCCAAAATATCCAAGTATCATGGGGTAGCCATGTTAGTCTGTAGCCACAAAAACAATAAGATGTCCGGTGGCACCTTAAAGACTAACAGATTTAGTTGGGCATAAGCTTTCATGGGTAAAAAAACACTTCTTCAGATGCATCTGAAGAAGTGTTTTTTTACCCACAAAAGTTTATGCCCAAATAAATCTGTTAGTCTATAAGGTGCTACCGGACTCCTTGTTGTTTTCCAAAATATCCAAAACATTTTTGCGCCAAAATATGGCACAAAACTTTGAATCAGAAACATTGAAGCAGAAAATGTCGACGCAGTGGATGGAAAAGAAATAAGTCGGCATTTCAGAACGAAAAGGCTGCTTTGCAAGGATACTCAAAAATGAAAAACAGTCACTTTGTTTAAAATGTTGCTGAAAAAGAGACAGATGTGTTTCATTTTGATTCTCCTAATTGGCAAACTGAAAAATGCTGTTGAAACCACATGTTCTGATGGGAGATTTTTTGGAGGCACAAAATTTCAATCCGCTTTGGGAGTTACATGTTTGTATTTAAGGGAAAAATTTGGCTTTTAGTGTAAATTTCTACGCTGAGACTTCACCTACATCAAGAAGATCCTAAGGGACAAATCAACCATGTGACTCCAGGAGTTGTCTACACCATAGGGAAAAGCGCGCTAGGAGGGCTTAATCTACAAAACTCAATAATATGTTGAACGTGACGAGGTCTGTGTAGACCCTGCTGGTGTGCACAGAAAGTTCCTTAGTGCACGTTAACATAGTGGTGTGCACCACGTTAAAGCTCCCAAGGACCTTTGGTGTGCACCCGCAGGGCCTACGTGAACCAATGAACACACAAGACATCAGTGCCCTTTAGAACTCACACTCCAGTAGAGCGCTTTACCCCGCCGTTTAGACACGCCCTTCGAGTCCTGTTCTGAGTATGTGTCACACAGATCTTTTAAAAGTAAAAGTCAAATGGTGGCTCCCGCTTGGTTGTTGCTACAGTTTCTGTTATGCCCGACTTTCAGATTCACGCCTCTACGCGAGATAGGTCACAATCGCTGATAGGCTGTTATCAGGAATGAAAAAAGATGACATCTCAGCCCGGATTCTTTTTTACACCACAGCTGTTTTATGCACTCAGGTAATGTAAAGGGGCTTTAAAATGGGTTTAAACCCATTTACGCCCCTTTTAAGGCTCCAGAGCAGTGGCAAAGGGGCTTTAGTGTAAATGAGAAGCAGGCCCCTAATATTTATCCATGGTAAATTGCCCAACTCCTGGTCAGTCTTCAGTGTTTCTTAAAATCAGATTATTTTAAAAAATGGGTGAAGTACTGCAATAGTAATTTTTTGTGGGGGGCGGGAGGGGGGGAGGGCAGAAATCTGGGAATGTCTGGGGTCTGATCTCCATTACAGCAGTCTACATTCAAAGTAGATCTTTTGAAATCAAATGGAGATCCTCCAAATTCACAACAGTGTAACAAAAAGCAGAATCTGACCCTGGAAAGATGGTAATTCCTCCCTGGGAGCGAAAATCAAATCAAATCAATTCCTAATGCGAATGGATGATGTGTATCATCAGCTGCGCCTTCCAACGTCTTACTTCATTCTGGGGCCCTACTCGTTTGTAAAGAACAACATTTGCTTCCAACATGGAGGGGAGGGAAAGGAAGAAGTGGCAAGGGTTCAGATAGTTCCCTTGTTGCTTTTGGGGACGAGGGGCTCTGGCTGTGGTGACAGGTTTTGATACTGAACACAGCTAGGACTGAAAAGTTGAGCTACCCTCCTTCCGATTGGTCAGTGACACAAGGACATTAGCGGGGAAATCTGAGAATTTGTTTTGAATGCGTGAGAGGTTTAACCCTCATTTCATTATTTGGATTATGGGGGATTGAAAATAGATTTGGGGCCTACATCTCTACAACAGAGGGCCAAATTTGTCACTTGTGTAAACACTTTAACGCCACTTCAGGCAGTAGAGCTGTAACCGCTTTGTGCTGGCAGCATATTTGCCTCAGCGTGACAAGTAACAAGAAAGCATTCTTCTTTGGGCGGATGCATCTAGGTCCATTTGGAAGAGATGTATAGAGCAGACACAACTCTCACTGTACTCAGAGGTAACAAGTTTTGTTTAGAGAAATGTCATTCAGTGACATAGTTGGTTCCCCCACCCATTTGGTAGGGTATTATCATGTTATAGGCAGAACCACTTTACTCCACTCAGGACACGTTGTGTCTCAGGATTTTCTTAAACTGAAAGAGAATTTTGTCATTGCTCAGATCTTCCTTATAATTTGGCACTTTTAGTGCCACAAAACAGGCCTGACTTTGTCCAAACTAGGTCCAGGTTAGCTTGAGAAGTCTGCACACCATAGCAATCCATCTGATGAACTAGGCCCTAAACTTGCGATTTATAAAGACACCCACCCAAACCGGTGAGTTGTCCACAGTTTGGGATCCAGGAACAGAATTTTGCACAATCCCAAGGGACGTTCTACAGCCAAATGCAGAGGTAGTGTAAATGGCTGCACACAAGTCAGTGGAGGTGAACCTATTTACGCCAGCCCTGAATTTGGCTTCCACGCTCATTTAAGAAAAGAAAAAGATTCGATGTGCAATATTTTCAAAGAGGAATTTGGACCACGGATGCGCTTTCATCCCCATTTGCCCAGGAGATGGAAACAAAATAATTCAAGAAATGTTTATTTTGAGCCCCCCAGATTGCTGGCACCTCAACCCCGAAACAGTCGTCTTCATCATCTCCAAAAGCTCTTTAGAATTCAAAATTTATGCATACATATTAAAACATATATATGAGTGCTCTTACACAGCATGTGTGCGTGTATCTATTTCTATATGCACGAATATACAGGCACGCGTGCACAGACAGACAGACACACACACACACACACACACACACACACCCAATAGACCCTTTAATTCTGAAAATTCATTCGGTGAACCACAATTCATAAATAAAAGGTTGGTGCTTACAGGAAGTTCTCTCTTTTTTTTTTTTTGCCCTTGAAATAGCCAAAGTTACTTAAACTCAATTAAATTTAAAACAGCCAATAATGAACAGGGCCGCTAAATTTATTTTTAAACAATGCACTTGCAGGGAAAATTAACTCATTATTTAGCTAGAAGGTAAACTTTGTTAATTTCATCAATTAGATAATGCCCTAGACACCCCATGTGCTATAGACAATTTGCTTCTTTTGCTAGGAGGCCCACAATGAGCTTTATAAGCAACTGATATTTAAATTTATTTTCTTGACTAGATACATGTGACCCTTCAACCCACTTCAGTGCCATGCCACGCCCCCTCGAGCCCATCAGAGGCCACCCCTTTTAAAGGCACGGATGTTCAAACAAAGGGAGGGGCACGACAGATCGCATGTATCAGGCCAGAGAGGAAATGCCTGTTCTGTCAGCGTTTGGATGTGTGTCGTGGCCCAGAGGGGGTTACGTTACAGCCTTCTCCAGCCTGAGCACAGCAGCACCGAAAATAAATGGCCGGGGACATGAGTGGTGAGAGGCCCATCGGCAATAACGAGGCGTCTGAGTTTGTTAATGGCTGTCTGCCCCCAGTCGGGGGCAGTCAGGCTGGGAGGCAAGTAACGTGGAAGAATCTGGGTACCCATGGGGCCCGGAAGCTTTAAGCTTCCACTGTAGGGGAGGCTGACCCCAAATTCACTGAGCAGACTGAGAAGGGCATTCCTAGCTGCATGCTCTCTTTACCCAATCCAAGTTCCCAGTACGACAAAGCCGTGGCCCATTACAGCACGGCACTGTTTTCCATCGCGGGGCAGACTTTGCAGTCCTAACTCAGGGGCGAGACAATGGGAGTTTTGCCTGAGTAAGGAGTGCAGGATCACAAATAATTTATAATAAACCAAAGATTAACTCTCCTTGCTCCTCCCATGCATACACAACAATGGCCTTCTCGAATGATGCTTAGAGCTGGTCAGAACATTAGAAACAGAGAAATCTGGGTGAGAAACAAACAAATTGTTATTTTCTGATCAGTACTACTAATAATATTCAGAATAATTAACTGGGTTCCTTCCAGGGTTTGAAAGCAATTTACCTCCGGTATAGCCCCATTGACTTCAATGGATCTGCAGCAGGGGTGAATCTGATTTGATGGACAAACCCTGAAGTCTGAAAGCTCAGTCAAAACTCCTATTAACTTCAGTGGGAGCTTTGCCTGAGAAAGACCCTGCTCTAGTCTCGGTGGGCATTTCATCGTTTTACTCCTTGAAAGTAAGTACCTTGAGAAGAAATGGACGTGAGCCATTTGGAGCATGCAGTGTGTTTGTTGGGTCTACTTTATTCTTTCCACTCTTTGCGTAAGGAAATATAGTTCTAAAAAAGCTATTGTCTAACAAAGTAAACGGTGATTGTTATTGTGCTGTGCTAGGCAGTCAAGAAACTTAAAGGCAAAAAAACAAAAAACAAAACAAAACAACCTTCTCCCCTCCTCCCCCCGCATATTTTCAGTAACAACGTACCAGCCTCCCAAACAAAATCATGGCTATTCCAAAGCAGCGTGAGCAAGTATTTCACTGTATTCAGATGGAAGCTGATGGCTGAACGATCTAGTGCATGTTAACCATGGCTGATGAGTACAACCTCCAAAAATTCAAGTATTCATTAGTAATCTGTTCAGTTTCTAAATGATTTCATTGACTTTTAGTTTCAAGTTTTCATAAAGAGAGAGAGAAAAAAATGAATCACCTGTTTTGTAAAAAAAAAAAAAATATTGCAAACAGTGCTCGGAAGGTATTATTACATATGATCAAGAAAGCAAGGGTTCCATATTTAGATTACATGCAATAGCCTCAACTCCTTGTAGCTGGGGAGAGAAAAGACTTAAGCCAGCTTTCTGGATGCACATATGTACTGCATAATTCTGCTTCCCTTTAGCAAGTTGTAAAAAACCTTTGCACTTCCATTCCTGATTACACAAACTCAGTAATAATAATACTTTGCACTTCATAGCACCTTCCGTCGAAGTGCTTCACAAATGATTACTTAAGCCTCACAACACCCCTGTGAGGTAGGTAAGTATTATTATACCCATTTACAGACGGGTAAACTGTAGGCACAGAAAGGTTAAGTGACTTGCCCAAGGTCACACAACAAGTTTGTGGCAGAGCTGGGAATAACGCCCAAGAGTCCTGTCACCCCATCATTTGCTATAATTTTTAGACCGTGTTCCCTCTCCACCCTGGCCTTATAAAACCATCTAACAAACAAATCAATACATAACTCCAAATAACTCAGCATGTTATAACGTCCTGGGTTTGTCAAGACAGCTACCTTGCTGCATGTGTCCCAAAGGGATAGGAAAGTACTGTTTATACTCTCAGATCATTTTTGACAGCTTGCAAATGTTTTGAATATACAACAGGAAACAAACCTCCATATTATCTCAACAAAATTATTTGTTTTTATTACAGCTTCCAATTGGGTTATGTATTTTGAGGGCCAGATCACTTACTCAGATTAGTGCTTTTTGTGCATAAATTGTCAACCTCATCATATATGAAGATCCAGTGGGAACATATGCAGCTATCTTTTTATTTAACATGACACCAAACGTCCCTAGCATTCAAGCTTTAAGTCATGAATGTTGGCTGAACACAGACAATATTTTGTTCTGTGCGATTGCTCCCGCCTTTCCCAATCAACTGTATAACAGAAAAAGTGTTACCATAGTTGTATCTCCAAGTTCAAACACAGAACAACAAAACAATTCTCAATGCGCTCATGGAAAAAGTGCAAGGATCGCTACCTGATGGTCTGGAAATGCATTCTGCACACAGTGAAAGGTTGCCCACGTTTATTTGGGATAGCTTCTAAACCTCCTAATTCACCCCTGGCTGAGACTCTCTGCACCAGAATACACCTGAGCTTCAAGGAGAACCCTCCCACATTACAGTCATAACCCCGGGCTACTACCCGCCCCAAGAAACGCCAGGGCCGTGGACAATTGTTGAAATAACGACATGCAATCTGCAACAGTAGAAAAAGTTGCAAGTGAGCTCACATCCCCTCTACCCTCTAACAGTACAGAAAACATCCAAAATCCACCACCTTCGTTTTTACATGCTCATCCTTCAGCAGATACATTTTTGTTGTGACCAAATTGGACAAGACTAGAGTCCAGCAGAAAACTAAGCAAACAAAAGACTAGGTGTCACAGAAAAGCTTGTCTCCACAATTTTCCACTGACCCCAGCAGCTTCCAAATTGCCTCCTGCAAAAGTGGCACGGCAAGCAGGCACTAGAAGGTTTCACAGATGTACAGTAGTAAGTTTTCCTTTTCAAAGCATATCTAGGCTTCAATTAAACCATGCCAGAAGAACCTTAGACCACATTTTCTGAAGGTGGTGGATCATGTTACAGGAGTGTTGGTGATGGTTGTTTTCTTGCCCGTCCCAGGCAAGGCTGGGAAACATGGATAAATTGTGAAGTGAATCTCATGCTTTAAATATATCATGAGCAAAGAGCAGGGGACTGTTCCTATTGAAGTCAGTGGCAACATTTTCCTTGTCGTTATGAGGATAAAGTTTATAACCTCTACCAAACAGAAGATGAAGCTTGAAGGTGGGCATTTTTGTGATATTGCACCTAGGCCACTTTTTAAACTACAAAACTGTTCACCGCTTTCGGCAGCGATAGAAACAATGAATGACTCGACATGGATAATTAGCCCCAATCAAATAAGCTATTACAAATATTTACCTTTAAATCAGGGGTTTTGCTAACATTGTCTATTGGCAATTATGTAATGCAGCTACACAGCTGCAATTTGGTTTGGGTATGTTTAGAATGAATCCAAATCTTGTGTGTGTGGCAAAGCATGACCCTGTCCTGGGCCAATGCCTTGTAATCCTTGTTTGCTGGGTTGGACTGTTCTGAACCATTTGCATCTTCAAGTTAGCTGCATGCAGATACTGGGCACACTAGAGATAGAGAGACATAAAAACACCATGGCTGTCAGCATCAATAGAACTGATGATCCCCAGCACTAAAGAACACAGGCTCGGAGCTAAAAGATGTTCCGTGAACTGAACCAGGGGAGGGAACAGATATAAACCTGACCAGAGCTGACTTATTTGATCCAGTAGAAAGAGACAGAGCATATACAAGTGTAACTCCACATGAGCGCGCCAGATCTATACAAACTCACTCATTCATTGCTCTGACTGCGCTTGTCTGGAGCCTTATAAACTTGAACCGATCTCTGAACTATAATGGATTCAACTTTGCTCTTTGCCGCATATTTTTAAAAAACTTTTTTCTGGATGGCCTGGGGCAGGAGGGGACAGTGCTAACTAGGTATAGCAAGGAGATGCAGGGGGATTAAAAACAAACCAAACCCAGCAATGAAGTGGACACCAAAAGCAAAGGCTACTTGTGAGAAGAGAAGCACTTTGGAGCAGAAAGTGAAGGTTGGTGGATTGTAGGGTGACCAGATGTCCCAATTTTATAGGGACAGTCCCGATATTTGGGGCTTTTTCTTATATAGGCTCCTATTACCCCCCACCCCCGTCCCGATTTTTCACACCTGCTATCTGGTCACCCTCTTGGATTGGCACCAGGTTCGGGATTAACTAAGGGATTCCGTTCTGTACTGTGCCACTGGCTTGGGGAAAGGAGCGGCAGGGGGAAGAGACTTACAGTAACAATATCAGACCTAACTCAGAGCAATCCACCGAACTAAGGCCCCCAGTCAGCAAGGTTCTTAAGCACGTGCCTGACTTCAGGAGCATCAGATAAGAGTATTCGCTTGCTTAACGTGAGGCCCTTGCTGAACCGGGGTCCAAGGAAGCAGGAGCGCCATTTCAAGGGCGGGGGGCAATTTTCAGAGGGGGTCTATCCCTCTGTGCCTGGCCGCTCATGGAGCTGGGTAGGGGGCACCATCCTATTCTTCAGGCTGGGGGACTTCCACTGGGTGCTTGAGCCCCAGCTGGTTGCTAGAGTCACTGGAGTTCGAGGAGGCAGTTCCTCAGACCCAGTGCCCCACCCACTGCTGCAACCAGCCAGGAACTCCCGTGTCTTCCTGCCAGGGGGGAGTCCAGTCTCATGCCCTGGGGGATGGGGGGAAGGCATGCAGGGGTCTTGCGTTCCAGAGGTGTAAGGGGGGTAAATGAGGTATGAAGCACGGGCAGAGAACTGCCCCCTGCCCCTGCCAGACCTGAACAGCACCTCCACAAGGAATTAATATGGTTTGTGCAGCCCTGGGGAGCCAAAGCCAATGTACAGAGTAAAGAATCAAAGTCTCAAAGGTCTCGGTCATTTGGACTTGGAACACGCTCCCAAGGGAGGCAGGCAGGGCACCATCACTGAACATTTTCAAGAGCTGGTTTGATAACTCATTAGAGCTTCATCCTTCATTCCTTCCTGGCTTGGGGAGTCACCAGGACTGAAATGGGGCTGCTTGCGCCGAGAGGAGTGGGAGGATTAGACCTTTTGGTTGAGATGATGAAGAGAAGCAGCCTTCCAAACTAGCCCATATGACGCGCATATTCTTTTCTGAACCGAGATCGATCTATCTATCTAACAGAAATGAGGATGGTACTCCTTGGAAAATTCACAGATAATACATGGGGACCTTACTGAGGTCTAGGGACAGGAGAGACGTCATCAGATGACTCGAGATATTGCCAGATACCGGGTGCTCCATAACTTGAGACTTAGTTGCAATGGAAATGATGGAAGCATTCCTCACGATTCTCCCCACTACCCCCTCCTTTGGGGCAGCGGACTAGGTGACAGAGAAGATCTTTCCCATCTCTAATAACTATGCCTGTGAAACTGGCTCAAACGGAGAAAAGAGCTGCATATTAAAGGGCTTTGAGAAGGAACTCCTTCACAAAGAAGATGTATAGAGTAAAGAATCACAGTCTATTAGAGTAAACTGCTCATAATAATGTTTATGGTAAGTATTTTGAGAAAAACTATTTGTATCTAGTAAAAAGATGAAATGGCTGGTCATGTTGCAGGACCAGAACTTATAATGGACAGTCCATGTGCCTCTCTAGTGTGCTCAGCCCTTATTATAATAGAGGAACTTGCAACAAGCAACCTGAAGGCGGATATAATTCGTTAAGTTCACTTCACAAATTACCTCATTGAGCAAGAGATGTCACACGGATTAGAGAAGAAATGTGATGAAAATGAAGTGATGCCACTGACAAGTAATATGGTTCTAGTCCACAAATAAGGAAGAAGGTAAATGAAATCTCGCCAGACAAAATAACTGACCGTTAATTAGGGTGGGGCACAGACAATACGAAGCCCACCCTTCGTGTGAAAATGTGACTATCAGACAGGTTGTAATCAGAGCCCAGAAACATTTAATTGAAATGGAGCTTCACTGACTGGGAATTACAGTACCAGTGACAATTTGGCTTTTTATAAACTTTGCCGTGTGTCTGTAGTTTGGCGTGAATAAGCCCTGCCCTCCTTAGAAGGGCCTGTGAAATATTTGAATGGTATTTAAAAAAAAATCCACTCAGAACACTGCAAAGCATTACTGATTGAAAAAAATGTTTCCATTCAGGTATATTCAGGCGAAGAAAGCATTCAGCTTTTTTAAACTATTATATAAAATTTGTACTAGTTTCTTTAAATACCTACTGTAATTAAAAAAAAGGATTCATCAAATAAAAAATCATAATCATAATTAAAAAATCTTTTCCCCATGTTGATTTTCTCTTCAGAAGAGTTCAACATGGGAATTTTGCACCCTAGACAGTTACAGTATTTCTGGAATAAAAAATTGCAATCACACAGAGAAAATTCTACAGTATTCACTTAAAAATATCTTTTGTTGTTGTTGTTGTTTCCCCCCACAAGTAGAGGGATGGTGGGATTGAAAAAATGCCCTGGAACAGGAATATTCTTTTAAAGGAGCAATACTCTTGAAACCAAAAATGGTATTACATATACACCGCCTGTGATTTAACTCGAAACAAAGAAACTTCAACACAGAAATAAAGAAATGTAAACCTTCACGCACCAAAAAGATTATCTGGAAACGTCTCAGATCTCTAGCAGATATCCTTCTAAAGCTTTGCCATCAATGGAGGTGGAAGTGTCTCCTTGCAGTGAGAACTCTTAAGCTAAACGGTGATGACCTTGCTACGCTCTCGATTTCCTGTGGTGTTATTTCTTGCCATGTACTTACAGCAGAAGGTGACATAAAACGTTTATCAGCGGTTCCCCGAATGCACCAAGTGAGTTGAACAATTCTCAGCTAAATCACAACAACAACATCAACAAAAATACAAAGCACCAAATCATCTTTAGAAAAGCGCCAGTTACAGGTTATTACTGTTTGAAGATTTTATCCTAATTTTCTTTTTTGTTTTCCTTTAAAAAAAAACAAAAAAACAAAACAAAGAATGCTTTACAATCACTTTAAGGCTCTCGCTGAATGAGACATAACAGGCCTTACATAATATTACAAATAATACATGTATGCCTTTTCACAGCCTTAAAATGATATAATAGGTCAAATTATTTTGCCAGTCACCGATCAAGTATTGTGCCTTTAAATTGACTCTCTTTTTGCTACTATGCTGAGTTTTATTATTACTGAAATAATTTATTAGATATATGTAAATCTACTTTAGTATTATATTTTTGGTGTATAATTTAAAGAATGCAGATTCGTTATTTTCCAAAAATCAAGATGGAAGGCCATTTTATGGGCTCACTCACATCAGTGTGAATTAGGAGTAAGTCCACTGAAATCAATGGAGTTACACTGTACAAAACTGTGATGAGTGAGATCAGGTATGGTATTACTATGTGAATTTGGTGCAAACTGAGTACAGCTGACCATCACATATGGCCCACTTACACTAGGGAAACAATTTTCTCAGGGGATTACATTTATAACATGGTTTGGTCTGGCCCGCATAGGTGGGACCAAGCTATGTTATCAACATATTGCCAAATTGTGTTACAGCCCTGATCTTCTTTCAGCCATTTGAGATTCAAACTCTTTTCGGGCTTTTCTACTTTGCTTTCTCATCGTTAGACATTTTTCTTGTTCACCATAAGAGCAGCAATACCCTTTGTTGTTGTTCTTTTCTCGTTTCTTTTTTTTTTATCATCTTTTTTTTTTTAAGTTTTGTATTTAGGTTTTTTTTTTATTTTTCTTGGCATAAAATCACCCAAGAGTTTTGCATGAGAAAGGTGACAGTACTTAATGAAACTCAGCACCTAAGGGCATAAGGCAGTTGTAGGTTTGTTTGTTTGTTTGTTTTTATTTTTCAATCAGCACCAATCCCATATATAATGTTCTACACTTGGTGTAAGGTATAAAACTCTGATGTGGAGACGCCTCTTCTCCACCTGTGGATCATAGGTGTGGAAGTTGAAATACTGTTTCTTGTGTGTAAAAAACAAAAGAAAAGTTTTTCTTTTTGTTTTTACTTACAAAACATAGAGATTATCTTTTTTTTTTTATACATACAGCAGCCAGAAAGAAAGCTTATCTGAAGGTGTGTGTTTTGTTTCATGATCTGTGTTTACCATAAACAAAAATAAGATCCCCTCTTTTATTTTTTTTAAAGGAGCTTTAAAGTGAAGACTCATATTGTAGCAACTCATACAAGAGAGGTCCGTCTCTATACCTAATACCTACAGCTGTGGGGGTGACATACTGGAGAATGTTGATAGTTCTTCTTAACCGCCTGTCTACAAAATGGGCATCCCATGCAGGGTATCTCTTTCTTGGGATGTCAATCTTAATGAGAGGGCCTTCTGGGTAGTAGGCTCGCCCAGATGGAGTAGATGGCACCATTGCTCTCACCTGGAAAACTGGCAAGCAAGTGTCAGCTGTGAGTTCCTCCTGTTGCTCCGTGACCGCTCTGGTAGGCGTAGCCTCAGCCCCCCGGTACCCAGGGGTTTCGGGTGCCATGGGCTCAACATCAGGAGGCAAAGGAATGCCCCAGAGCAGCTCGGCGCAACAGGAGCTGGCAAAAATCTTAGCTCTTGGCCCCATGGGATGCAGCACACCATAATAGAAGAGCATCAAAGCTATCCCAGCAGCAAAGCTAAGAAAGACACAACACAGTGCTGGCACGGCATATGAGTCAGTAGTTGTAGGATCTCTGTAAAAATACCAAAGGAGCGTCAAGGCAGCATTCTCTGTCAAGACTACAGTGTAATATGCAAACATTCTATATCGAGTCCGACCTTCCTTGACATTAAACCAGCAGAAAATGTACACAATCCCTACCACCATGTTGAAGAGGATCTCCTCCCACTTAGACATGCAGAAGTCAGTCCCACCATGGATGATCCAGAAAGCCATGGCACACCAGTGGACCACTACAAAGATCCCAAAGTAGAGCTGGAAGATGGAAGCAAAGAGGGCAAAAGAGATAACTCTGGATGAGATGGTGAAGAGGCGCCAGAAGAGATGTATGAGGGCCCCTCTGTAGCTCATACTCTTCTTGTCATCCCTAGAGTCCCGAAGAAGCTTGTGATAGGAGGCTAGCACCCAAGCCAGGGACATCAGGGACGCCACAGAGGACACACCTGCCAGAAGACACAAATCCACAGAGTCAAACAATAGCATAGATAGAGAATGTCACTCACTCACTACTTTATTGTCACAGGGCAGGTATGGTAGCAAGTAATGTACAACACATTACAAAAATCTCGAGGAGTAGACAAATGCAGAAGTATCAATATCAGAACCATAAACAAACATTTATTCTTTATCTGACACCTGCACAGGTGTATTTTATATTAGTGATAAGCCTGATCCAGAACCCCCCAAAACTGAATTACCCCCAGACTTTCAGAGCTAACGAGGAAGGATTGGAATTTGAACGTGTATCTGCATTTCAAACAAATCGTCTCCATCCTTATAATGATCTATACCACACTCCCAGATCCAAAACCTTTCGGACATTTGAAATCCAGATCTGGATCCAAATTTTGTAGCATGGACCCATCTCTGCCCCAAATTGTTAAGGTAGCCATCAGCTGTGTCTGCTATATTGTATCAGAGGGGTAGCCGTGTTATTCTGGATCTGTAAAAGCGGCAAAGAGTCCTGTGGCACCTTACAGACTAACAGACGTATTGGAGTTCACTACATGCATCCGACGAAGTGGGTATTCACCCACGAAAGCTTATGCTCCAATACGTCTGTTAGTCTATAAGGTGCCACAGGACTCTTTGCTGCTATATTATACTGTCATATAGTTACAGCAAAACGTTTAATACAAGGCAGGACTGTTATGCCTTAAACACGGGGTGAGCAAATTTTGGGACAGAGAGGGTGACCAGTTTCCAAGTAACTGTGGGTATGTCTACACTGGGGTTGGGAGGAAGAATTTTCAGCTCGCGCTAGCTTTGATTGAGCTAGTGCGCTAAAAACGGAAGCATAAGCCATGGTGGTGCAAGCATCGGCATGGGCTAGCCGCTCCAAGTATGATCCCATCTGAGCCCCTAGGTACATACACGTGCGGCTAGCCCCCTTCTGCTGCTCAAGCCGCTGTGGCTACAGCAGTGTTTTCAGTGCAGTGGCTCGATCAGAGCTGGCGTGGGTATGTCTGAGATTAAATTGACACCTTTCAGCTCTGGCATGCAGATCCATACCCAGTGTGCATAGGGTTTAAAATCCCAAATAGACGCCCTCTTGTGCGACTTCACGAGCAGCGAAAACGTGCAGCTGATCAGTTTTGTCCTCAGCCTGTGATCCCATGGAGTTAGTGAACCCCAGGATCACGGCGGGTTACCGAGCCAGGGTCGGGGCCTGTTCTCTCAAGGTGCGCGTGCTCCTAACTCTGAGTGAACCCAGCGGGAGTTGAGAGCGTGCTGCACCTCAGAGGGCAGCGCTGGTCTTACATTGGCACACTGCGTGTTGCTGAATGCTTGCTGGGAGGCACGGGCAACCCTCCACACCCAGTGGCTTTATTGAGGGTGGAAGGCCATCAGCACGTTGCAGGATTTACCTGGTTTGTGGGAAGACAAGCCCCGAATAGAGCTTGTGAAAGATTTGTCATCACCACCCGCCTCTTGCTGCGGGCACCAACCTTTGTCCCAAATCTGCCCTTGGTAGCATGTTCTGCATAACACAACTCAGGCCCTAGTGCTCTAAGCACCCGGTGGGTCTCAAATAGCACCTACTTCCTTTAACACCTTGCTTCTCCCAGATCCCCTCTGGCCACTCCTCACTGACCACTCTTCCAGCTGCCACAGAACATCCCCTTTTCTGTGCCCCTTCTGAGTCGATATGCTCCTAGGGGTATAGAAAGGGATATAGAAAAATTCCCCAAGCCCAGGTTTACGGATCTCCAAAAAGAAGAGGGAAGACGCAAGATGTTCCTCATAGGCCTAATCCCGACCATTAAAGACAATATTTATTTTGTTAATTTATTTGGATTGATAAAATAACACCCACCCAATGCACTGGGTGCCCTAGATGTATTTTATTAATACAATATTAAACAGACCCACCAGTTATCCCAGGACCAACCTGAACAACCCAGTGATAACATACAGAAAACCAAGATTAATCGATCTCATCCACCCACAAAATCGCCACCAAAGTCCTGTGCTCCCACTACCCCGTCATCACCCCTTTATGAGCAAAGGTAAAAGGTGGACCAAGCAACGTGTTGTGAAGACAGACTCAGACAGGCTCATTGATTTCAGTGGAAGGGGCAGGAGCAGGGTCTGTGTTTTCCAAAATAAAATACAAGCTGAATTAAACAAAACAACACAACCCAAAACTTTCAGGGATTTCTTTATAGAAGTCCCCCCCCCCCAACCTCCTCTCCTCCAACGCCAACAGGAGACAAAAAAGGCACCATCCATTTCCTCTTCCCCCTTAAAAAAATCCAGTGAAATTATGCAATAACTACTCCAGGATCAGTTCTAATATTTGTAAAGCTTAAGTTCCCTGGTGTTTTTTCATGGTCTACGTGAAAGTTGATTATTTTATATAGATCTTGCCAAGGACGACGTTACATCAAGAAAAGCACATTTTGGCGGAGAACAAACGGAGGCAATGCCAGCAAAAGTCTGTATAAACCACATTGCGATGCCAGGGTCAAATGCATGTATGCCAATGAAAACCACTGGGTAACATCAGGACTGTGTTAACATGATATAACTGCCGGAGCTGTATATGGAAATCGTATCATCCTTAAAAGATGGTGGCAAAACATTGTGCAAATTTAGGGAGAGCGGAGCATGTTACTTATACGCTGAGGAGGGTCAAATAACTTGCTAACGAGAGGAAACGGCAAACAAAGGCAATTAAACGTGGATTCAGAGACATTATAGAGCTGGCTGAACAACTGGAAAATGCACCAGCCCTTGTGTTTGCAGACTCCATCTCCCTGCTGGATTTGGCTGTGTCTGTGCCCAGTGGCAGGAAATGGGAAACAGTCCTAGCAGAACTCACGCTCTGCAACATGTCTCTACTCCCCTTCAGTGGCTGTTTCACTCCTGGGGCTGGATTGGTATGTTATGGAGTAAACATGCTTTCTCCCTTTCCCTTTAGGGTGAGCAGGTGTCTGGGTTTTGACTCGAAAGTCTGGTCAAAAAGAGGACCTGACTGTGTCCGGTCAGATCTACTGACCGGATGCCCAAAGTCTGGTTACTGCAGGCAGGGAGGCGCTGAGTCATCACCCGCACCAGCCCCTACTCAGCCAGGGCCACCTCCTACCTGCATCAGGTGGCTGCAGCTCCCAGCCCTGGCTCTGCAGGAGAGCCTCTCCCGACCCAGGCAGGGAGGGGGAGAGAGGGGAAAAGCAGTGAGCGACAGAGGGAGGGGGAAAGAGGAGCAAATGGGGGGCGGGTCCTCAGGGGCAGGGGCGGAGCTGGGGAGGTTCAGGCACTCTTGCTGGAGTGTCCGGTTTTTAAATATTACAAAGTTGGCAACCCTCTCTCTCCCCGCCACGTGCCCTATCCCCAGACTTCTTCCATGTCTGCTTGTCTCTCACTGGGGCTGGAGGATTGTTGAATGGGTCTCCACTTCCTCACTCCCTTGGCCACTTCTCTCACTGGGGCCAGGAGGAGTGGGTGTGGGGGGGAATGGGGTTCAATGAATCTCCTCTCCACCTCTGTCCCAGTGTGGCCTCTCTCACTGCTGCTGCTAGGGTCAGAATTCTTCTCCTCTTGAGGGCTGCCTGGCCTCTTCCCTTTGAGGCTCTGTTTGCCCAGTGCCTTATCCTTTAGTGGGGTTAGTTCTTCTGCCCCGTCACGAATATGGAGACCCACAGAGGGAGAGGCTCATGCAGAGAGTGAGCAGGCCCAGAAAGGAGTAGACCTCCCACCCTCGCTGCAGCCCTGCATGCTGCCAGACACAGTGAGAGCTGGGAGGGAACCTGGCTCTTGGAGTCACGCAAATGGGTGCAAATTCCACGGTCTTTGAAAAGAAAAAAGGAAAGGTGAAATCCTGGCTCCACTGAAGTCATTGAGAGTTCAGCCATTGACTTCAATTGAGCCAGGATTTCACTGCACATTTCCAGCCCTCATAGTTACAGAGAAAAGCTTGAAAATGTGACTCAAGTGCTCTGAAAAGCTTAAAAAAAATCTGCCAATAAATAAAAAGACCCCAAAATAATAATAATACCTGCTTCTTATATAGCACATTTCAATCAGTAGATCTCAAACTGCTTTACAAAGGCAGTATCATTACACCAATGGGGAAACAGAGGCACACAGCAGCACAGTGACTTGCCCAATATCACCCAGTGGGATACTGACCGAGCTAGGCCTTGAACAAAGGTCTCCTGAATCTCAGTCCAGTGCTCTAACCGCTAGGCCATTCATAATTTGTAAACCTAGCTTGTGATTTTTGCAGTGCTGACTCAAGATTTTTGAATGCTTGAGGTTGGCAATACAGTGCGATTCATTGTGCTGTTCTGACCTTTCTCATTACAGTATTTGGTATCGGCCGTTCATTATTCTCCTGTTTAAAAATGCCAAGTCAGAAACAGTGTCATGTGAATTAAGGGATTGCTACTTTGGCCTTGTCAACACTAGAAAGTTGTACTGCTTTACTTATATCTGTATAAAGTGGTACAACACCCCCCTCCCCCCTCCACTGTGGAGGTAGTTATACTGGAATAAAAGTGTGTATGCCAGTTTAATTTATTCCCCATACAGGAAGGGAAATAAATATACCAATATAAGCTACCTGCCAGTAAAACTGCACCCACATTGGGGGTTGTAATGGTGTAACTATTTTGGTAAAAAATTCACTCCTAACCAAAACTGTTATACCTGTAAATCTTCCATGGGTAAACCAGACCTTTGTCTAGAAGCTACTTGTGTTGAGTGCCCGGTTGCCTGAGTCACATGGTATTATTTCTGCAGCCTGATTGGATGAGTACATTTTTCAAACAGAACAACAAATAATGAATCAGACATTTTCAGCACAACTGTTTGGATAAATAATCATTTGTGTTAAAATCTGTGAAAATGACAGGATTCCTATCCACATTCACATAGTCCGAGTATTCTCCAAATACTCATGAGCTATGCATAATAGGACTCTGGGAATCAATGAAACAGA